GGGCCTCATGTTTCCAGCAGAAAACTGCTTTACCACTATCACCTGTGTCATCTTCAGGTGATAGTGGCAAAAGAAACTGAATCACATTTTATGACTAGACAAAGATCGCAGATTAAAACTTTCCAGAAATTGCTCCATCTAAACCTCCCTGTTCACTGTCACTTAAAAGCAACTCCATCACAGATAAGGAAATTTCTAAATAAAAAGTAGAAGAATAAAAAGTGCAGTTGAAATAACCACGTCTAGTCTGGTCTCAGAGGAGGAGTGGTGGTCTCTTGAGTTGGGTAGGTGTGTAAATGTGAGATTTGTGTCAGTAGCACAAGGGTATATGCAGAGAGAGAGAGAAGGATAACAGTGCATTAAACCCAAAGTGCTCTGGAGATGGATACTTGTACTGAGTTGACTCCACCCTGACCAAGGAGAACCACTGGTTTCATCAGAGACATCCTTCACCCTTCAGGTTTTGGAGAATATTATTACTGCTAAGGAGCCAACACACCAGGCTTGCAGGAACTACTTGAAGACAGGGATACACATCACAAGAAACTCCTTGAATCATTTGTTATTAGCTGTTATCATTTTCAAATAGGGGGTAGATATTCTGAAATTCAGATTCAAGGCTTTTTGGCTCCACTGCGTATTAATTTATGTATAATTGCTTTTGTAAATAGAATGAGACAAAACTGATTTAAAATGCTCACCTAATGGCACAAGTAGTAATCTGGGCCTGTATTCTATAAAAAGAGAGCACCATGTGTTATTTATTTGGGTTTCAAAGCTGGAAATTTTGTGATTGGTTGTATTTTTTGTTTGATGAAAAGCAAAAGTTCTGCAAGCATTAAACTTTGAGATTAAAACGTGAGAGTGAGTTGTCATTGCTGTCTTTGTTTTGATCTGGTCATGACTGAACCTCATGTGCAGGATAAAATCAAACAGTAAATGGACTGGTTCTTATTTAGTGCTTTGTTACTCTGCGCACTCAAAGCACTTTCATACAGGTTGCCTCATTCACTCATTCATACAAGCACTTCCTTTTATGCTTTTTCTATGTAAGTACTTTCTATCTAAGACTCACACTCTGATGCATCGGCGTGGTCATCAGTCCATCACAGGGTTCACACATAGAGACAGGCAACTATTCATGGTCACAAACACCACATTAAAAAAAAAAAAAAGCATGCAGTAATGGAAATAAAGTGCTTTTATTTCACAACATTTTGAAAACTGACACATTCTCTGAAACATTATCAAAAACCTTACAGCTCAAATGGCGCACTGCAAAGATTTTCATTAAATTAACTAAAGCTACCATTTTCAAATTTGACTTTTCAGCAGTTTGGCAACTTGATCTTTACATTTAGTAGCTGTTGAGCTGAAGCTTCTGATGCAGTCAGTCGTGCAGACCTCTGATAAAGTGGTTGGTTGTCAGTAAAAATCATTGACAGTGGTTAATGAGTGTTACTCGGCATCACACAGCTGAGACACCTTGTTTTTCAAACTACAAAATTTTAAAAGAAACTCATTTAAACAGTTTAGTCTGAGTTGCACTGCATATAAATTTTGCCACGCTTCAGCTCCACCACGTGTTATCAGAGCGAAGCAATCCTTGGCACATGCTGAAGAAAAGAAAAGGAAAAAAAAAAAAAATCAAACCCCAACGTACGGCGCTCATGCTTGACCTCAGGGTCTGTGCTGCTTTCCTTCTTCCGCACAGAGGTGTTGAGTTGTTCGTGGATACAAAATGTAGACTGCCCTTTGGAACTACTGCTTCCCAGCTGCATGACTATTATAAATCCACAGACAGACTGGTCTTTGCTATTGCATTTCTGAATTGAGGTGAAGTTGCTCAGTGAGAGTTTACAAAAAAAAAAAAAAAGAGAAGTCAATTTTCACCAGAAGCTCAAGACAGGAAAGGAAAGTCAACCACCCCCCTTTATCCTTTTTGCAAAAGAGATACTACACCGTGCGGCTAATTTCAAATTTCTCTCAAAGCAACATGCCCTACTCCATCTGTAGAGTGTACATTCACAAAGTACAAGAAGACACATTTACATATGAACATCTGACTCAAACCCAACAAACCTTTCCAACTTAACACTGGCATAGTGTTCTTATAGAACGATATGCTAGAGTGGTACCATATCAAAATCATTTACCTGGCTAACTTCTGTCAGTTTTACAGCTGATTAACAAAGTTATTCCAAAGCAAAGGAAAAAAAACC